TCTTTACTAGTTATAGTTAGTCTTGAGTAACATAATGTGTACTGTACTGTACTGTACATATCACTTTAATCTGTTGTAACTTGTTCTTATATATCACTAAAAACTGAACACAAAAAGTCAAAAAAAAAAAAAAAAAGTAAATTTGTGACAAAAAGTAAAACAATCTTGACAATTTTAAATTTTTCTACAAATTTGTTTAGCTTCAGAAAAATATATAAATAAAAACTTGATTATTTCTAATTGAAAAGCAACACATCTATTTGAAATATCAGTCGACTTTTTATTGCAAGATTTTGTTGTTGTTCTTTAGAATTGCATAACGAGACTACAAGATTTTGTAGGCCTTTTTAGTTTATCCATTATTATTAAAAAATTTTAGGGATAATTTTATGGGAGTTAAATAAAAGTAGACCATCCTTCTTCACAATGTTCAATCTTTATATACGGAGTCATTGTTTAGACTCAGTTGTACTAACCCAAGATCACATCCATCACACAAGAGTAGCCTGTCCTCTCTGTCTGACCGGCCACAGACCTCACAGTATGTCGGGTCCTCCTCTTCATTTTCATTATCTTGTTTGTTGTTTTCAACAGAGATCTAACACCACACACAAAATTGCATTCATTAGACATGTGCCCTAATTGATTAACTGTATTCCTTAATTATGTTAGTATTTCAAATTTGTGGTTTTCATACTAAGATTACTAAGATAATGATCAAATAGATTTAAAGTTTACAATGAGACCATGGATCCTGTAGCCCTACTTATAAATGTAGCTGCCTTGAACATACCAAATAAAAAGCCAAACAAGGCTTTATTAGGTAAAAGGAATATCCTTTTTCTAAAACATGGAGAATATTGAGTTGCTTTTTTTTTTATATTAGTAGGTTATTAGTATGTATTATCTGTATAGTTTTCTTTATAAATTATCATAAGTTACATTATTAAAAAGAGGTGCGGTGGCTGAGTGGTAAATCACTTGGCTTCGACATCAGGGGTCCCAGGTTTGAATCCTGGTGAAGACTAGGATTTTTAAGTTAGGGCTTTTTAGGAGTCCACCCAGCTGTAATGGGTAGCTGACGTTAGTTGAGAAAAAGTAAAGGCGGTTGGTCATTGTGCTGGCCACATGACACCTTCATTAAACATGGGTCACAGAAACAGATGACCATTACATCATCTGCCCTATAGGTCACAAGGTCTGAAAGGGAAACTTTACATTAATAAACCCTCAATCAGGAAATCCGCTTGTTATGAACAATAATTTAAACAAATGGCTATTTTTTTTTTCTCTTCTTATTTCTACCTGATACTGTACTAAATTTATTTAGCGAGTGCATCTGAATATTGGCTAGTATTATTGTCCTGTTATATTCTTCCTAATACTATATTCAAAGTGAAAGTACCTGCTTGAAAATTTTCTCCTCCCTCCCATGTCTGGCTAATATAAGATGGAAGACTTGACGATCAACTGGACAAGTGTTGGTCACCTAAATATAATGTCATAAGGTTTCATAAGCCGACAGTATTCTAATCAAATAGCTATCATAAAATGCAATACATATTTTGTTTTCAATCAAGAAATAGGTTGAAAATGATAGTACCTTGGCCCATTCTTGAATACATTCTAGACAGAAGACATGATCACAAGACTCGGGAGTTCCCATGTCCTGGTTACGCAGCCGGTTCAAGCAGATAGGACACCTGTCACAGTTTTCATCACCCGAGGATTCAGCAGCGTCTTCTGTGTCACTCCCACCGTCTTCTTCATCCTCGTCTTCTTCATCCTCATCCTCCTCATCATTGTCATCCTCTTCTTCATCATCTATACAGGAGAAACAAAAAAATTCTGGTTATCCAGTTTATTAGAACATACAAGACAAAACTGGCTACATGAAACACTGGAACAGCAGATTTGTGCAGTTGGTGTGTTTAGCCACGGGCCGTGTAAGTAGTACATCACAAGTGTTGACACAAATTCATTGTCCAAAGGGTTAACGAAGACTAGCAAAAGTACTAATGTAAAAGAAAATTCATTAACTCTCTATAAGTGCAGTAAAACCACTGTTTTTAGCCATAATTGGTTTCTAAGTCTGGGCTATCGCCATAAGGGGGTGCGGTAGCTGGGTTAGAATCTTGGCGTAGACTGGGTTTTTTAGGGCACCCCCAGAGTCCACCCAACTCTAAATGGGCACCTGACTTTAGATGGGAAAAGTAATGACAGTTGGCCACATGACATTAGCCATTGGCCAAAGAAATAGATGACCTTAACATCATCTGCCCTATAGATTGCAAGGTCTGAAGGTGGAACTTTACTGTCGCCATAATCCAGAACATTTGCAAGTGGATGCATTTTTGTGTTCAATAAATGTAAGATAATGTTCTCCAACCTACTAAATTGTCAACAAATAAATTTACAAAGAGAATCTTTAGAAAAACATTAATGAAATACTAAATTTGTAAAGTGCATACGAAATTATACAATATAATCTCCCATTAAGATGAACTGATAAGATGCCCTAGCTCTGTCAAATGACATTAGCATTCCAAATAAAGTTTCTTTTGAGCTCACTAAAATGCTTTAATTTTTTAATACAAAAGACATTATTCTAACAACAAAATTAGAAACAAGGAAATCAAATTCCAAATTTGTTAATAATTGTTAATAATATTGGATATGTTTTCAAAATTATTATATATAATCAATAAAGCAAAATATGATTTTTTTAAATTTTTTGTTGTTGTCATGTTCAGAAATGGATTTGACTGTTCAATGTGTTTGTCTCTTTAAGAAATCCTTTGCAGAAATCTTGAATGTGCAATCAGCAAGTTTTTGTTAAGACTTTTTAACTAGCAGGCAAGGGTTGAATCTTTATGAATTGTCCATGCTTTGAAAACTTGAACAGTGGTAAATCATTTCTTTAGGTGTGATACCAGTTGAAGACTGTACAAGAAAAATCATATGTTTAATATCTCTTTAAAGAGATTTCCATGAAAAATCAAAGGTGTCAAACTATTATATTGTCAGGTGGATGTAAGATGAGAGTGAATGTTACTTTGATATTTTGATATGATAGTTAGATCTCTTTGTTTATGTACTCCCAGGCCCAGGTTATGAATGTGAATAGTCTTGCACGTGTTATGAGCTGAATGGTTTAGTCTTCTTTGAATGTGCGAGAGTGTGTGTTAGTCTGTGAGGTCTTGTTCCCAATCCAGGAAGGTTGGACAGTTGCTTCCTGGACTGGTGTTTTGTGTATTAATATTTATTGAGAGTTGATGTCATTATTTGTGCTCTATCAGATATTAAAGTATCATTTGTATTTCCATGGATATCTGGAGTTGAAGTTGAATTTAATCTAGTATTACTTTATTGTATTATTATTTAGTAACCCCTAACGAGCCAAGAAAGAAAAGAATCTGATATATACCTTTGAAGTAAATATTGTATTGGATATTAGTTCTTATTTTCAATTGTGATATTTTTTTTAATATAATATATTAGTTTGTTGTATTTGTACCATTGCTGTTGAGATTTACATAGCAAAGTAAAGAATGACTGGGACAGTAACAGGATTTGTACAATGTGCAGACAGCTATGGTTTTTTCTCTGTAGCCTACATTTCAATTAAGCCACTTCTTTCACATATACCCCCCTCACATATACACAGACAATGGATCACTCTTAAAAAAAAAATTCTAGTAACCTTCTTCTTCAGCATCATCGTCCTCTCCATTTTCCCCATTGATTTCTTCATTGTCCTCAGCACCATCTTCCATTTCCTCCTCATCATCATCGTCATTCTCATCATCATCACTTTCCTCCTCAGAAGAAATGTCCTCATCTATACTCTTGTCCTCCACATGACCTAATTCATCCACATGACCTAATTCACTCACATCTTCTTCTTTGAATGACATTCTTGAGTCAATGTTCACTTTTCAAACAGCAGAAATAATGCCACACCTGTAGAAGAGAATGAAAGGTTGTTAGGTTAGAATTTAAAACCTTTTTTTTAAAGTCAGACCAATTCAACAATTATTAGCATCAAAACAAGATTAACTCTTATATGAGTCCAGGTTGTTATTTAAAAGTATGAAATATAAATTGTATTGAGAATCTTGCATGTACCTTTCTACTTAACTATTTATATTCAAAACAGATGGACAGATCTGCAATAATAAAATGTATATTTTAGCCATATTTTGATTTTTTTTTTTCCATGTATTAATTCTTTTTTGTTTATGGTTAGACTGTGAAATCCTTTAAATTTTATCTTAACCAACACATTAGATGGTCATTTTTATTCTGCCAAAACATTATCATGATTTGTGATATTAGGAACATAAGTACTTTTCAAGCCATGCTTATAAAGCTTTTAGTTGCCTTAACTCCTTTATTCAAGAAGTCACTATCTCTTATATTCCTTTTTAAAAATAATTTAAAATAAACTTAAAAATCATTAGTAATTTAAATGCATTTAAACAATACACAATGCCTGGTCATAAATATGGATTATACTATAAATACCCAGTACTTAGTTGGGTTTTTCTGGCTAGTTAGAATTTTGCACTCCACATAAAATATCAATGTGAAAATAAGAGATGAATCAATGAATGATGCATACAGGTAACATGTATATTAAGGCAGCACTGGAGTACAATATATATATTAAACATTACTGTACTTTGGTGCTGACATTTCAAACAGAACTGAGAATGTCAGGATAAATAACTTCTAAGTTGCTCTTTAGTCAATCAATTAGTTAAGCCCCAGATGATATGACTTAATAACAGTTCCATTTCATTATAGCTTCACTTTAACACAATCAATGAAACTAATGTAAAAAAAAAATAGTTCTGACATACAGTCAGTTTTAAACTAAAACTTGATTCTTCTTTTGAAGTCCTATTTTTCATTCAATAATTCCACTGAATGTGTGTGTTAAAAAAACAAAGAGGTCAATCTAGCATTGAAATAAAAAAACAAAAGACTCAAAAAAGTTTCAATGTTCAGTACTTGGTGTTTTATTGTTTGTATAGAGAATAGGACAAGAGTCATCACATACAATTAACAAAATATGAAACAAATGATTCATCAACACACACTATGATGCAGCCCAAACCATTGCATGAACTATTGACCAATTTATAGGACACATGCAAATTGAACAGGTCAAATCCATTTACATAAATCTCAGTCATTGACTTAAAGTGATGTTGACAGGAAATCAACAAAAAAAAAAGTTACACAACTGTTACAGGTCATGTACATTTCCATCATCTATGCATGCAATCAAACATAGCCTATAGCTCTAAAACTCACTAGAGTTGTTTAATATAATGACAAAGCTGAAAATAATTTCATTTAAAAAAAAAAAAGCCTATTAAGATACATTTTTGGGTTGCTGTAAGAACAGTTGTGCAGTTGTATGATACAAAGGAACCCAAGATACTGGTACAAAATATATCCAGGGGCAACGTGTTCTCTTGCTAGAATTTTATCATTGTAAAAACTTTTTTTTTGGTTGAACAGCGTACTTAAACAAATACAACAAATGTCTAATTTGAAAACAAAAATGCTTTAAATTTATCAAACATTTTTGCATTTTCTGTTAGAAATGATTTTTGTTTATGTTATTTTTTCATCAAACTATATTATGTAAATGGGCAAGTACTTATAAGATATGTAAAAAAAAAAAAAAAAAAAAAAAAAGTTATTAAATTTAAAATCTTAGTTAATCAATGTCATTATTTACCAAGGCTTAAGTTAAGATTGAATTTTGGTTTAAAATAATATTGTTTTGCTATGTAATTTTTTAAATTACAAACTATACATAAGGCAACCATGAAAAGCTGGTAGTGAAAACATCATATTAATATTTACAGTTTCCTTTTATAGACTAAGTATTTAGTTAAGTGTTTTATTTAGTAAGCTGAAACATTCAATTCTAGCACAATATGAAAAAGACTTTACTCATATTTACTTTATTCTTCTAAAATCTTTTTTATAATCTTGAAACCCTAGTGATTGAATTTTTTTTTTATTCGTGATCTATGGAGATCTTGAAGTCTGAGCCAACTGGCTAGTAATGGTCAATGCTAACTGTGCCAACCACAAAGCTTTTTTTAATCAGTGGCTGGAAAAACAGATGAATCTCTGCACAATTAACCAATAGTCTAAAAGGGAAACTCCACTTCAGATACTGTTTTAATCAAAATTGTACTAATCACTTTATTTTCACTCGATTTTGATTATGCTTCTCTTCATTGCAGAATAGACAAAGTTGGAAGAACAGAAGTCAAGTTTCAGAAGTCACCAAATTTAATCTACTAAGCCCCAAAGATCACTGTGAATGGACACCCCTTCAATGCAGTAGACCACTTAATTATCTAGGCACTACTGTATCTTAAGATACATCACTTTCAAGAGAAGGATAACTGTCTTTCTAAGGCAAGTACTCTTTTGGATGCAGAGAGTGTGGCGGAACAAATCCCTCTGCCAGCCCACAAAATAATTGTCCACCAAGCAGTGGGTCTTTCAACCCTCCTACATGGATTTGAGACATGAGATCTATACAGAAAGGAACTAAGACTTCTTGAACGCTTTCGCAAAAAATGTCTGCACTCTATCATGGACATACATTGGAAAGATCGCACTACAAATAACACGCTACAGAATGGACATTATGGAGGGACTGCTTATAGTTCAACAGCTACGTTGGGCAGGGCACATATATAATCCTGTATCAGGGACGACCTATGCCAAAGGCAGTGCTTTTTGGTGAGCTGAAAGGTGGTTAGCACAGCAGAGGTGCCCCCCAAAAAAGCTGATTTAATGACCAGCTTAGGAGCCCAATTTCTTTAACCTGAGCACCTGGCTGCTTTCAAAGGAGACAGCTTGAGATTTATTACAAAGGCTGCAGAATACACCTTTGCAGCCAAAATGAATTCTACAGCCAAGAACATATGTAGACAGTGGGAAAAGAACCTAAGCCGACCATCAGCAGACAACAGTAATGCCAGTGTTGGATGTCGCAAAATAGGTAGATCACAGCTAGGACTACATAGCCACTTGAAACACTGCCCTCCTCCTTAATCCTCGGACTCCAAGAGACAAGCCTTATTATTATTAACAAAACAAAAATTAATTGTTAGAAACACCTGCCAATCAATGAGCCATTCTAGAAGGTTAAAACTAACTTTAAAATACAGCTTTTCTTTTTAAGCTTAACTTATGCAGTGATGCCCAAGTTTTGTTGAAATTGGTCCATAGTGTAAATAATTCAATGGCTATGATAAAGAGAAAAAATTAAAATACCTGGTATGTATTTTCTTGAAACTGGTTTGTCTATGTTAAACAATGCCACAATTAGAAACAGTTCACAGAGCAATAGCAATTTTTCTAACATCAAATACATTATGAAAATATTTTTTTTTTAATAACTGCATTGGCTTTTTTCTTGTTTATGACTACTACCAAGAAGTCTACTGGAGAACAAGATTTAGCATTTAATAAAGTCAACAATGCTTGAAATGTAGATATTTTTTTTGGTTGCCAAAACTATATAGAATAATTCTATTGCACACAAATAAAAATTAAAAAAAAATAAAAAATTAGGTTAAGTGAAAATTCTAATGATATACAAGACCTGTTAAGATAATTTTTTATAAAAGGAAACATCATGTGTGACAATATACAGTTTGAAACATATTTCTTAAATTCACCTCTTATCACATGTACCATTAACAAAAACAGACAAACTGTCTCATATATACCATGATGAAAAGAGAACACACACATATTGATATTTCTTTTGTTATAAAAAAAATGTTTGTATTTGATACTACATAGTAAGAAGAGAGACAGACAAACATTGTCCAAAATATCAAACATAAACAATATAAGACCACAAATAATTAGAGCATGTTCCCTAAATCAACACAAGTTGCACACAATTCAAAAGTATTAACATTTTTTACACCAGTTACATACTCAATATTGCAGCAATAACTGCATACACAAAAATACATAAACAACTTTGCTAATTTATATAAATATATCCCTGTGTCTACTAAAGTACTGGCAGGTGGCAGCAGTTAACTTTCACACTAAAGCTGTTCAATTATTCCTCAATTATAATACACAAAATGTTTTCTATGTTGAATAAATAAAATAACTGGCATATGTTATGGTATACCTATGTGTGTGTGTTTATGTAATGCACAATAAAAATATAAACTTTAAACAAAATTGACCACTATATCTATCTATAATGGTTACTCCTCAGAAATGACTGTCACATTCTGGACATACACATTTTATTTTCATGCATCATCACAAAGTTATGTACAATTATTATACACATTAGTTAGCACTAATTATCTCGAGACTTTTTTAACCCTTTCCCCATTCTGCCTGAGTGCTGGTGGCGCTGCAGCCGCTGTCCCTGGTCCATCTTTTGGACCTGTTGCCTCTTTGGGGGCATGTCCTTTCCTTTTCTTGCTGGAAGGGTGAGACCCTTTACTAATTTTATTTACATATGCTTCAACCAGCTGTTGAATCTTCTGAGGGTTAATATTACCACTTTTACTATGACACACCTGAAAATTGCAAGAGTGATTACAAATTACACATCAATGTTGGTCATCATAATTGACAGGTATAGCACTAGACATGCGTGCATTCTCAAAATCAATACAGAACAATCTGAATACCAACCTTTGGGACTGCTTTCCTGAGAATCAACTTGTACTGTTCTTTAGTAATTTTTTTTGAGCTATAGTATGGCTTGATGGCCAGCTTGACCTCATCAATAACTCTCTCTTGAAGGTGTAGCTTTTTAAGAAACTGGAAAGGTAAAAATGGATTTTGAAATGGTTTGTGAAAAAGATCATTTTAGGTCAAATACAAATTATTGGTTCATGTATATTTAGAATTATTTAGACAAAAGTACCTTTTCTTTATTGGTGAGATCCACTGCTGAGGCCGGCACATCATCATCATTCACATCTAACCTATGTTGCTTTTTAGAAAGAGATTTAGATTTGTCTGGTGGAGCTGTGGGACCAGGCTCTGTTGGATGGCCTTTGGGTGCTAGTTTTTCTATAACTTTGCTCAATGCTTTGAGATAGACTGCAGGTTGAATGACACCTTTGTCTCCAATTGAAACAGTTTTTGAAATATCATTAGAAGTTCTGTTTGACTTTCTACCCCTCCGCCTCCTATCATCTCTTTCACTATCTGAGGAATTGGGTGAGGGCAGTTCAAGTTCACAATCGTCTTCCCCGGGACTCATGTCCATGTCCACAACCTCAGTGGACTCTGCCAAATCACCCCCTCCACCTCTGCCACTTCGAGAGACTCTTATGGCAGGGGACATGTTATTAGATGCTGAATTGCTCATCAGTGGACCTTTGCTCACCAGATTGTTTGACATAGGTAATGGGTGTTTGAACATTTGTGGGTGGAGTTGCTGAGGTGGTGGAGCCTGCTGATGAGAAGAGACTTGCTGATCATCTCTGATCTGTGAAATTTTAGATCGATCCAGACCAGGCAAAAGGGAAGTCAACTGTGCCAATGGTGCCAAAGTAGACATAGGCGGTCGAATAGGAGCAGAAAGTAGTGAAATTGTTTCTCTGGGTGGAGGAGGTTGTGACATTAGTGGGGCCGCAAATGACAGAGGCCTATTTTCTAACTGGAAAAGAGGACGGGTATCTGGTGTCGGAAGAAGACCTCTCTGGCCAGGAACAAAACCAGGTGGACCTGTATTTTGGTGCATAATGTTTGGGTTGGGGCCGTTGACATGAGGCCATGGCGGAAATCTCTGGCCCTGCCCTGGCGGCGCCCCTGGGAAGGGAAGCAATCCAGGTTGATGCTGTGGGGATGGTTGCTGAAGCTGTGGTGATGGTTGTTGAAGTTGTGGGGATGGTTGCTGCTGCTGCTGTGGATGGTGATATGGAGTACTTAATAAAGCCATTTGTGGCCGAATAGCATTATTGAACATAAGAGGCTGCACCGGAGGAGGAATAGAAGATTCAGACAATGAAGGTACAGGTGGTGGCGAAGGTCTGACCTCTTCAGGAGGTGGGTGATCTGGAGGCACAGGGCCAGACTCATTTGGAAAGAGAGGAACAGGAGCTTGAGATACTAGTGAAGTAGTGATTAAAATTGGTCCAGGAACTGGTTCAGCAAGAGCTCGCAAAGATGAGACATTTTCGTGCTCTTCTGGTTCTTCTGTAGGATGAGCTGGATCATAATCAGATTCATGTACTGTTTTTCTTCTATCCTGAATCAAGCTGTCAGTGTGCTCATCTCTTGTTGGAGTAGCATCCCCTTCAAACTCATCATTTTCTGGCTCTTCTGGATTAATCTGAATAAGTGCACTGCCTCTAGCGTTGCGAGATAACTCTGGAGGTGGAGGAATGGATTCACCATCAACAAGTTTTGTGCTGTCATCATCAATATTGTGATGTGTTATGTCTACTCTAGATGGTGGGTCTTCTTCTTCATCAAGGTTAATTACAATCCTTTCTGGCTCTACAAGAATGACATCACTAGAGGCACCTTCATCTGAACTTTGGCTCCTTTGAAAATTTCTTCGATGCCCCCTTCTGACAATAACATTGCTGTCAGTGCTACTATCTGAAGAAGAGGAGGAAGAACTGCTACGGGCTCTCTCTCTTCTTTGTCTACGTTGAGATCTTCTAACATTCT